AAAAAACAAACAAACAAACAAGCAAACAAACAAACAAGCAAACAAACAAACAACAACCGCAGTGATACGAATAAGTGTACTAATCTAATGATACTGCCGATAGTGACATCCATACGTAAACGAGCACTAGCTCAAACAATATTACAGAGGTGCATGCGTTGATTTTGTGGCAAATTTGGTTGTTGCTAGTTTAAGTTGCGCGGAAAATTTCGGAGGCAGCTGAGTATTGAAGAGGAGATGGTCAATGTACCATGGCACGATCTAAGACGGTACAGTATACTCCAAAGTGCTATACATGTTTGAAAGCGCTCCTCCAGCAGGCGCTTCATGTTGTGCGGGGAGGAGCCCACTGTCGAGATGGTTCTTGGCAAGCATAAGGCACAGCACATCGTGACAAGAAGGAAAAAGTTGCGGGAGAAGATCGCAAATCTCAAACATCCAATACGCTCCCACTATCCTTCAAAGCCTGCTCGGGCAGGAATGTCTGCGCGTACAGTACAGTAGCACACACAGCATGAATGAAATGTGCGAGGCGCATGCTGCTTGGCGCCAGCCCGAAACGAACAGGGTCGACAAAGCCTGTGCGGCCAGCTCTGACCAACAGCACGGCAAATTCAGCAGCATGTTGCGTTCACCTGACACTACGTACTGGGGGTCGGGTCGTGTCACTGGAGCCGCACAGTTCCTGTGAACCGCGCCTTTAACAGCCGAGGCGACTGCGTCAAAGTTTTCCAAGGGCTCGCCCATCCCCATGAACACGACATTCAGGATGGAAGAGCCGTGACCCTGACGGGTGTCACGGATAAGCGCTAAAAACTGACAACACGAAGTGCATGATTGAATCTGGCTCTTCAAATTCATCGCTCTTCGCCATGAAGTCGTGGTGCCTTCTGCAGTCTTGCCAGGATCAGCTGCTCTTGAATCTCCTAGGCTTGGGATTCACTGGCAACTTATGACAATTTCAATGCCTGGAAGAGAGCAATTTTGGGAGTATGCTTTATGTAACCAACCATTTACGGTATTTGGCCAGCTTGAAGCCGCGGAATGTACTAAGGCCACCTGCACAAAATTGCACTGATAGTTTGATGCACAACAACTTGACCGAATTCTATAAGCTACCCTAAGCTCACCTGGCCTGAATGCAACTCTTCCCACTTGCATGTTCATATGCGGCTAGTGGTAGGTCTGTACGCAACTTCCGGTGGGACCATGGGTGGGTCTGCACAAGTCAAGCAATGCTTAAGTTCAATTCCATAGCCTCCGTCTAGAAGCCGTTCAGTCTCTACTAGCTCTTCAAGCAGGCCAGCATGGTGTCTGCATAGGAAACTTCGAATGGGTATGAATGGGTCTGGGCCAGAGTTTTGGACGGCGTTCGATTCCATAAAGAGCATTTCAATCTTCATGTCGATAACGACCATGGAGTACCTCCACGACCTTTCGCCAAAGCCTCTCTCTCTCGCCCCAGACGCAGGACATGCCCATGCCGTGGGTGAAGAGGCGCCCTCACCCGGCAGCAGCTCAACCTTCGAGAACCCCGTGCTTCCTGGCGTCTTGTCCTCCTCGAAGCCCTTGATTCGACCCGCACTGGCGCATCACGAAAGCGTCATTCACGGAGAGGCAGCGCACCTCATCAATGCCCAACGCCTTCATCTCCTGGTATTTGTACTTGTAGCCCAGGGGGTGTGTACCGGAGAATGTTGGAGTGAACGCACCATTCAGAGCAAAAACCACTACACGCTTGCCCTTGTGCTCCACTTGCTCATTCATGCGTACTTGGGTCTTCAAAGTCACTGAGGGCACTCGGCTGCCCTCGCTGATTGGAGCGAACCTCCAAATGAAGGCTCTGAGAGCAGTTGATGCTTTCGATCGGCAAAGCCACAACGCAGAATGCGTACTGCAGCACTTCACAACACGGGGAAGTTGAATTGCTTCCCGGCCTCGCGGGTTGCAGAAGCCATCAACATTTTTCGCAAGGCTGGGTTGAAGTCCGCGATGTAGCCGTGGTCAGTTCGAGATTCGAGGCTTAGCGGCTTAGCATTCAAGGTTAGGGATCCTACTGGGGTCACAGCTGACCGCATACCTCACAACAGAATGGCAAAAGTTCGGAATTTCCTTGGCGGCTTAGGCTTAGGTATTTTTTGGATGGTACTTGTATTATGGATTATTGTGCGGGATTGCTGGCTGGTTCTGATTTGGGATTGCATCAAGGCTTATCGTGTAGATGTCTTCGAGACGCTTTTTGCTTTGGATTCGGAATCGAAGCATTAAGTTAGGGTGCAGATTGGGATGTGGCTTCAAAATGTGGAAGAGGTTACCATGGGGCTCGTCTGTACTTCCTTTTAAGGTGGTATACGATGCCAACAGCCGATAGCAAACCAAAAAAGGAAGCACGCAGGAGCCTCTGAACAGCCACTAGATTCATTTTCGAACGTGAAAGCATTCTGCCGAGGGGCGCCTGGCCAAAGATTGCCCAGCAAGCCCATGGTACCTACACAGGCGACTCAGAAGCTGGATAGGAATTACCAAAAATCAAGGCTCCCTTTTCGGAGCAGCTATCATGAGAATGATAATTTCTGGTTGTAGAAGCGGGGCTCACTACGAGTAAGACGAAACAGTTTTGCTATCTTCGCTAATTACTAGCTACAAGGGAGGATGGCTGATTCCGTGATTCCCCAACGCAAGCTGCTGACAGCGCTGGAATCACGTGATGTTGGTAGGGCCGGTACACCTGAAACACCAAGCATCCTCAGCGCTCAACATCCTGAACCCGAAGCATCCTAAACGGCGGACCGCCGAACCCTAAATCCAAACCCCAGCTGGCCGCCTGTAGCACAGAAAGTGCAGCCCAGCCGACAGCCGACCTGCATCTGTCTCAAGGCTGAGGTTTGCCTTACTGATGCTTAGGACGGAGCGGGTGAGGGAGCATAGGTATTGTGGTATGGGACTGTATAGAGGCAGATATATGGGCCGGATCCCTTTAGCACCAGTGAGTCGGATCATGTGTTGGCGCTTGCCAAAGCTGCGGTTCAAAAAAAAAGAATGAGAATGGGATCCATTCTTCCATGGGAACCCAATTGAGGAACAGAATTATTCGCAGCTGAAGAACTCCTCCTGAACTGCAGCAAGAAGTTCACTCAAATCGAGACTGCGGCCTGGGAAGAGACGCAAAGAGTATCTCGCTCGCCTTGGTACAAGAATCCCTGTTCCGGTCAAACAGGAAATACCTAAACCCTCCCTTTCTAGCCGTATGACTATTACTTCATGGTGCGGCCCGGGAAGCCACAGCGATCGGCCTGCCGCTGGTCAGGGTGCTCTGCCTGTCCGAAACCAAAGCCCCATGTCGATAGCTAGGTAGGCATATTGCAAAAAACGAATGCTATCTACACTTGAAGACTTGAGGAACTTCAACCTCTACATTACCTGGAGATAGCTTGAGTTTTTGTAGCAGCAATGTGAGCCTGCCTCGCCGCTGTGGTGAATCACAACAGACTCAACTTCATTGCCATCCTGACACAGCTGAACGTTCATCTGGAACCTAGGGTCCTGGACTTTGTTTCCCCTATCCGCCCTATGAGGTACTCATAGGGTCCTGGAGCCGGATCAGCAGTTTCATGGTGCCATCTAGCTCGGAGACGCTGGTGCGAATCACCTCGGAGGTGACCACCTGGCCCCAAGCTGCTAAGGCATCTTTCGAAGCATGAGTGCCCTAGCAAGGATTAATAGACTTTAGGAGGTTATGTGGTCATGACTTGGATCTTTCCCAACCTGGCCACAAGTCTATCCGCTTCTGGGCTGCTGGAGGCATTGATTCCCTCATCCCCTTTGTCTGAAGCACCAGGTCATCGAACGAGGTGAGACCAATCCATTCCTTGATATAAGCACAACCCTCCTCCCAATTTCGAGTATGTTGCTTAAATATACTTGAGCTACTAAAGAGGAATATGCAAACTTGCTTGGTAATTCACTTGCAGATGAAAGCAATATCAGCAGCAAGATGCAGTAAGATACTGCAGCTCGATTTGGGGTACTTCAACCCCACCATCCCCAAACTTGGTAAGAGTGCACATTTTTCTGTTGTTTGGTCTTTTTTGTTGTTTGGGCTTTTCGGGTGTTTTATCTTTTGCTGTTTGGGCGGTGGCTTTTTTTTGCTGTTTGGGCGGGGGCGCCTTTTTTTTCTGTTTGGGCGGTGCGCGTGTTTTATTTTTTGCTATTTGGGCGGGG